GTCAACTCGGTCAACTCGGTCAACTCGATCAACTCGGTCAACTCGGTCAACTCGGTCAACTCGGTCCACTACCCTCGGTCAACTCGGTAAACTCGATCAACTCGGTCAACTCGGTCCATTACCCTGGTCAACTCGATCAACTCGATCAACTCGGTCAACTCGGTCAACTCGGTCCACTACCCTGGTCAACTCGGTCAACTCGGGCAACTAGGTCAACTCGATCAACTCGGTCAACTCGGTCAACTCGGTCCACTACCCTGGTCAACTTGGTCAACTCGGTCAACTCGGTCAACTCGATCAACACGGTCAACTACCCTGGTCAACTCGGTTAACTTGGTCAACTCGGTCCACTACCCTGGTCAACTCAGTCAACTCGGTCAACTCGGTCAACTCGGTCAACTCGGTCCACTACCCTGGTCAACTCGGTCAACTCGGTCCACTACCCTGGTCAACTCGATCAACTCGGTACCACTACCCTGGTCAACTCGGTCAACTCGGTCAACTCGGTCAACTCGGTCAACTCGATCAACTCGGTCCACTACCCTGGTCAACTCGGTCAACTCGATCAACTCGGTCAACTCGGTCAACTCAGTCCATTACCCTGGTCAACTCGGTCAACTCGGTCAACTCGGTCAACTCGATCAACTCGGTCAACTCTGTCAACTCGGTCAACTCGGTCCACTACCCTGGTCAACTCGGTCAACTCGGTCAACTCACTCAACTCAAGTCAACTCGGTCAACTCGGTCCACTACCCTGGTCAACTCGGTCAACTCGGTCAACTCGATCAACTCGGTCAACTCGGTCCACTGCCCTGGTCAACTCGATCAACTCGGTCAACTCGATTAACTCGGTCAACTCGGTCAACTCGGTCAGCTCGATCAACTCGGTCAACTCGGTCAACTCGGTCATACCCTGGTCAACTCGGTCAACTCGGTCAACTCGGTCCACTACCCTGGTCAACTCGGTCAACTCGATCAACTCGGTCCACTACCCCGGTCAACTTGGTCAACTCGGTCAACTCGATCAACTCGGTCAACTCGCTCCACTACCCTGGTCAACTCGATCAACTCGGTCAACTCGATCAACCCGGTCAACTCGGTCAACTCGGTCAACTCGGTCAACTCGGTCCACTACCCTGGTCAACTCGGTCAACTCGGTCCACTACCTTGGTCAACTCGGTCAACTCGGTCAACTCGGTCCACTACCCTGGTCAACTCGATCCTACCTGGTAGGTCGGTAGGTGGGTAGGTCAGTAGGTCGGTCGGTCAACTCGGTCAACTCGGTCAACTACCCTGGTCAACTCGGTCAACTCGGTCAACTACCCTGGTCGACTCGGTCAACTCGGTCAACTCGGTCAACTCGATCAACTCGATCAACTCGATCAACTCGGTCAACTCGGTCAACTCGGTCAACTCTGTCAACTCGGTCAACTCAGTCAACTCGTTCAACTCGGTCAACTCGGTCAACTCGGTCAACTCGGTCAACTCGATCAACTCGGTCAACTCGGTCAACTCGGTCAACTCGGTCCATTACCCTGGTCAACTCGGTAAACTCGATCAACTCGGTCAACTCGGTCCATTACCCTGGTCAACTCGATCAACTCGATCAACTCGGTCAACTCGGTCAACTCGGTCCACTACCCTGGTCAACTCGGTCAACTCGGGCAACTAGGTCAACTCGATCAACTCGGTCAACTCGGTCAACTCGGTCCACTACCCTGGTCAACTTGGTCAACTCGGTCAACTCGGTCAACTCGATCAACACGGTCAACTACCCTGGTCAACTCGGTTAACTTGGTCAACTCGGTCCACTACCCTGGTCAACTCAGTCAACTCGGTCAACTCGGTCAACTCGGTCAACTCGGTCCACTACCCTGGTCAACTTGGTCAACTCGGTCAACTCGATCAACTCGGTCAACTACCCTGGTCAACTCGGTCAACTCGGTCAACTCGGTCCACTACCCTGGTCAACTCGATCAACTCGGTCCACTACCCTGGTCAACTCGATCAACTCGGTACCACTACCCTGGTCAACTCGGTCAACTCGGTCAACTCGGTCAACTCGGTCAACTCGATCAACTCGGTCCACTACCCTGGTCAACTCGGTCAACTCGATCAACTCGGTCAACTCGGTCAACTCAGTCCATTACCCTGGTCAACTCGGTCAACTCGGTCAACTCGGTCAACTCGATCAACTCGGTCAACTCTGTCAACTCGGTCAACTCGGTCCACTACCCTGGTCAACTCGGTCAACTCGGTCAACTCACTCAACTCAAGTCAACTCGGTCAACTCGGTCCACTACCCTGGTCAACTCGGTCAACTCGGTCAACTCGGTCAACTCGGTCAACTCGGTCAACTCGGTCAACTACCCTGGTCAACTCGGTCAACTAGGTCAACTCGGTCCACTACCCTGATCAACTCGGTCAACTCGGTCAACTCGATCAACTCGGTCAACTCGGTCCACTACCCTGGTCAACTCGGTCAACTCGGTCAACGCGGTCAACTCGGTCAACTCGATCAACTCGGTCAACTCGGTCCATTACCCTGGTCAACTCGGTCAACTCGGTCAACTCGATCAACTCGGTCAACTCGGTCAACTCGGTCAACTCGGTCAACTCGGTCCACTACCCTGGTCAACTCGGTCAACTCGGTCAACTCGGTCAACTCGATCAACTCGGTCAACTCGGTCAACTCGGTCCACTACCCTGGTCAACTCGGTCAACTCGGTCAACTCGGTCCACTACCCTGGTCAACTCGGTCAACTCAGTCAACTCGGTCAACTCGGTCCACTACCCTGGTCAACTTGGTCAACTCGGTCAACTCGATCAACTCGGTCAACTACCCTGGTCAACTCGGTCAACTCGATCAACTCGGTCCACTACCCCGGTCAACTTGGTCAACTCGGTCAACTCGATCAACTCGGTCAACTCGGTCCACTACCCTGGTCAACTCGGTCAACTCGGTCAACTCGATCAACTCGGTCCACTACCCTGGTCAACTCGGTCAACTCGATCAACTCGGTCAACTCGGTCAACTCGGTCCATTACCCTGGTCAACTTGGTCAACTCGGTCAACTCAGTCAACTCGATCAACTCGGTCAACTCGGTCAACTCGATCAACTCGGTCAACTCGGTCCACAACCCTGGTCAACTCGATCAACTCGGTCAACTCGGTCAACTCGATCAACTCGGTCAACTACCCTGGTCAACTCGATCAACTCGGTCAACTCGGTCCACTACCCTGGTCAACTCGATCAACTCGGTCCACTACCCTGGTCAACTCGGTCAACTCGGTCAACTCGGTCAACTCGGTCCACTACCCTGGTCAACTCGGTCAACTCGGTCAACTCGGTCAACTCGATCAACTCGGTCAACTCGGTCCACTACCCTGGTCAACTTGGTCAACTCGGTCAACTCGATCAACTCGGTCAACTACCCTGGTCAACTCGGTCAACTCGATCAACTCGGTCCACTACCCTGGTCAACTCGGTCAACTCGGTCAACTCGATCAACTCGGTCAACTCGGTCAACTCGGTCAACTCGGTCAACTCGGTCAACTCGATCAACTCGGTCAACTCGGTCCACTACCCTGGTCAACTTGGTCAACTCGGTCAACTCGATCAACTCGGTCAACTACCCTGGTCCAACTCGGTCAACTCGGTCAACTCGGTCCACTACCCTGGTCAACTCGGTCAACTCGGTCTACCCAGGTCAACTCGGTCAACTCGGTCAACTCGATCAACTCGGTCAACTCGGTCCACTACCCTGGTCAACTCGGTCAACTCAGTCAACTCGGTCAACTCGGTCCACTACCCTGGTCAACTTGGTCAACTCGGTCAACTCGGTCAACTCGGTCCACTACCCTGGTCAACTCGGTCAACTCGGTCCACTACCCAGGTCAACTCGGTCAACTCGGTCAACTCGATCAACTCGGTCAACTCGGTCCACTACCCTGGTCAACTCGGTCAACTCGGTCAACTCGGTCAACTCGGTCCACTACGGAGATCTCAGACTGTGTCCTCTTGTCATTCATCATGGTGTCTACAAGCCTTTTTATCGTGCAAGGGAAACAACACCAGTTATCAGCTGTCAAGGCGGTCATGTAACGAAAAATGCCAAACTCGTAAAAACAGCGAGCGCTACCCGATGTAGACATGATTAATGACAGAAAAAGAATGAGAGACAGACAGAGATAGAGAGAGAGAGAGAGAGAGAGAGAGAGAGAGAGAAAAGACAACATTTCTATTTTTCATGGAGGTAACAAGTTATCGTTCCTGAGCATATATCTACCTGTTGGTCGAAAGGAAAGTCGCTGACGTCTACGCCACATGAGGAGATGAATATGTCCGGTTGCCGCCATGTCACGTTGCCGTCACTGGTGACACTGATGTCAGTCACGGTCTGCAGACCGCCACGTGTGCGGCTATCTACACTACAGAAAGGAAAGGACATCACCACATCAAGTGTAAGAGACATATATAGGTGAGACAGAACGTGCACTGACAACAAGATTCCTGGAACACCGGTACCAACGTCCTAGCTCTGTATTACTCAGAGGTCTCGCAACACATTTTTTGTATTGAATCTCCGAGACACCCAGTATCTTTAGAAGGGGGTCAAAATTCTTGATTCTGAACCTCTTTGCAAAAGAAGTGAAGAAGGCGGTCGACATTAGAGCTTATAGATCTACCCTGAACAGAGACGAGGGGCGACACAAGTTATCTGTCATGTGTGATCCGCTACTACGGTCACCTGTCTCTGACGTCACGTTTCAAGAGTAGACGGGTCTATTCCGTGAACAAGGTTGAAAATTTGGGGTAAGTCCCAATTATATATACTTACGTGTTTAGGAGAAAAATGTCTGGCCTCCAAATTTCACTCGAGGGAAACGATGTCCTCTGCAGGCCGCCATAGTCACTAGCATTCCACGTCAAAAACTCATCCTTCCAATACTAAAAATAAAGATTTAATGCATCTTTTTTTTTAACGTTGGAAATTAAAAAAAAAACGATATTCAGATATGAGGCGAAGAGATAATTCTTAGCCAGTAGACGATTCCCATTGACATGAATCGTATGAGCTGTAATTAAAATAAATGATAATGCACATGTTTCAAGGATCATGTTGACTGCTACAATCTGTTGTAATAAAGAAATATCTCACCAGTCTCATCCACACCAGCGTTTGAAGAATTTCGTCTTGTTCGTTCTGTGAGAAGTAAACGTGAAAAACCTTACTCACTTGTGATACAATGAATGAACGAATGAATGAACGAAAGAATTAATCAATGAATTAATTAATGAGGCTTTATCATGAGACTTATACGACACCATTTGGAATTACAATATCAGGGGTAAACATAATGCAACCATAAAGTATACATTTGTAATTTTACATCTTCATCTTTAATTATATGCATGAACATCCATCCATTCCACAAAGAGTTAGGCCGCATAAATTCACAGCCTCACCCTAAACCGAATGCGTACAATATGTCTTATCTTCTGGCCCAATAAGATCTCAAATGAGGAACTTTCTATAGAAATCCCTAACAGAAGACTGAAACGGCTTGGCCATGTATTAAGAATGGATGGCGGAAGGATACCTGAAACAGCCTTTAGTTTGAGACCTGCTGGGCAAAGAAATAGAGGTAGACCTAAAACCACCTGGAGAAGAACTGTGTCAGATGACCTGGCGTCTATGGGACTGTCCTGACGGTTAGTGACCGAGAAGGTGACCGAGGATAGACACAGATGGAAGGAAAAAGTTTTGGCCTTATGTCTCACAAGGGATGAAGAGGATAAGTAAGACTTAGTAACTAAATACCCTAAATCGAATGCTAAACCGGCTAAAACTGGCGAAGGTACTAAAACCAGATCTAGAGCAGACTTTACCAGGCCGAGAATTTGCCGGAGTGCTATGTCGAACTCCACAGAGACAGTTGACGAGTCGTGTTTGACCGGACGGGCGTTCTTGTCGTAAAACTCTAACAGGTCCTTCCTCAGGCGAGAACTGTCACTGGTACAGACCCCGCCTGTAAAGGGATTGTAAAAGACATGCACTAGAAAGGTAACATTTTCAAAGCAAATGCATAATGTTTACATTGAAGTTCGAATATGGTCTCCTCTGTTAATTCTTACTCAAACACATTCATATATACAATGTATGGTCAGATAGGAGTCTAAATCCCGCATGTTATAAAATTGCAACATGATGTAACCCAACACTAGTTACCATGGTGACAGACGTCTGGTTCAGGTCATTGACCTTATGGGTTTGGAGAAGAAGAGGAGGAGGAAACAAACAAAACAAAGGGAAGCGCTTCTGTACGTGTAGTTAGGTATACCTCATTCAGAATTACATGTCCCCTCTTTAACAACCTGTGACAGTCAGGTTTAAAGCGCATTATGTAACATTGGGACGATACAGAAAGGAAATTTCTGGTATGACAAGTTAATTTTTATACGGTAGTACATCCTGAAATGTTACAAAATGGATCCTTGGGGAAGTGTTTGAATATTTTTACTAGGTGAGGTCAGTGAATGTTTAACAGGCCAGTTAACGAGAGGGCTACAATGCTTTAGGCTAGTAGATTTCGTGCTACAAAACGTTTAATCACATGGGAGTCCAGCTTCGTTTAACGCTTGCGATTAACGACTTAATTCGGCCTCACAAATCCAGGCACGTTGTGTTAAGTTTGAGCGTCAAATCTTCACGTATCCCAGTCTAAACTCACCCCCTTCGCTGTTCTTCGTAAGAGAGGTTTGCTAACAACAATGCTAGGGATTTAGAACTAATCCATGGTCATATTCTAGGTTCCATAGCATGCCAAAAACTGGGCGTTTGGGGGTCTCGACTCCAGGGTCTTTGGGAGCTTTTATGTGCTATCTTCGGATTGCATATAGACAACATAGCCGGCCTGGTTGAACTGCCTCCGTTTTTAAAACTGGTCTTATCAGAAAACAGCCGAAGACCACCAAACCCCTAGTTCTATAAGCCTGCTACGGAGGTTAGTCATATTCGTTCCCACTCGCGAGGTAAAACTACTTGTTGATTTTCCACGATAAGGCGTAATCTTTAAGTGATGTTCCAGCGAGGCGTGCCTTTAAGCCCTTGCTTTAAAAAGACGGGGTAGTACGAGTATAAGGATTCAAACTCACTGTGTACAAGTTACAAAGTAGAGAAATATGTACCTGTAATGCACCAAACTTGCCACACAGTCGTGAAGAACGTAACCACGAAATCTAGCCTCATATTTGTGCGGTTGTCTGCCAGCGACTGAACACTCAGTCTGTTTTGACTCAGACTGACAATCAAATGGACAATGGCGTATCCTGGTGTGAATAATACACGGCTTGGCAAGGTCAGAGGAAGGAGATTAGATCAGGCCTCGAAATTAACTTTTGTTCCTATTGTCCCTGCACTGTCCCAAAAATAAATTTCAACTGTCTTGAAGTGAGGATGAACTTTCCCAACCTGTTTTTTGGGAATTGTTGCATGAGTTCAACTTGAAGTCAACTTTATTTTCCTTATGTTAACTCCCAGGCACACTCATAATTTCAGAGTAGAAGGGGGACTTTTCTGGATCCAAAAGCCGGGACGCGTGCCTGATAAACAAAAGAAGGGCTGACATTCTTACGTTGGTTATTTTTCTGATATTCCAAAATGTCCCAAAGTGTCTTTTCAGTTGTCCCAGTGGCTATTGGAGTACCTTAAATTTCGAGCCCTGGTCATGTTTCGAACGTTCGTAAGCTCGTCCTAGTATTGTTCCGCGTTTGAACAGCGATCCCGTTCCAGAGTTTTTGATGATCAATGATTGGATAAAATCAGTTGTATTAATCAGTCAGAACAGACGTCTCTCTTCTTCAGCTTCTAACAGTTCTAGGACGAACCAAACAGGTACAGACTTGCAACGAAGCGAACGTAATCATGGCGTGGGTACATTTGAGGACAGCAACACAAATAACGACAGTTGTATACAGGGGTGCCAGGGTATACCGATGCAATTTTACGGAATACGATGCAATTTTACGGAATACAATACAATCGTATTAGTATACAGTGCAATTTTACGGAATACAGTACAATCGTATTAGTATACTAGTAAAATTGCACTGTATACTAATACGATTACACTGTATTCCGTAAAATTGCACTGTATAATAATGCGATTGTGCTGTATTCCGTACGATTGCACTGTATTCCGTAAAATTGCACTGTATACTCTGGCACCCCTGAAGATTGTTTGATCTCACGAACGCTTCACCTATTACGATGTTCTGTTAACGTTCTAGCTTTTCGCCGACATTGATCATGAATGACGCCTGGCTGGTATACACTCAGTCTTCTCCTTTAGGTTAGTAGTTCTAGCGAAGCATTACAGCTGCATTAGGACGATACAAAAAGTAAATTTTCTGGTCATTTCTTTCTATATCAGGTAAGTTGAATCAACCCTACTCTATTGCAAATAAGTTCCATTCAGGAAGTGAAGGTGCCAAAGTATGACGCCTTACGAGTGTGTTTCAAAGCTGGGAACACATGGTGTCAGCCATGTTTGTTTACATTCTGGTCGTTTGTGGTGGCACCAAAAACTTGTACTCTGTTTTAGAGCAAACCACAAATGTCATAAATGACAGATAATTGGTGTTTCAAAATGTTTTAAAGTGGACGTACATAACAATCACACGAATATTTTTCAAATAAAATATTTGAACTTGCAAAAATGTTACTCAGTGACCCTTTAAGTTATCCTTAGATCTCTCAGTTAGTTTTCAGTCAATTTAACACCTTCACTCTAACAATGTTCACATTGTTGGTTTGCGACAAGAGAGTAAGGTTCGTCTTGGGGTGATGCCAAATAGTAGATATGACAACTCATCGAACTTTGAAAAAGCAGAGGCCTTATTGGTCTTTGTTGCTTCAAGAAGAATGAAGATTTATAGTTAGGCATGCCCGTGTATGTAATCACACCTTCCTGACAGAATGGGACGCTAGGCGTCTCCCTGAGTAGACAATAACAACAGGGTCTTACCCTGAGGGGTTTTGTGTCTGGGAAAGGGTTGCCTTTGCCCGATATCCAGTCTTATCGTAGTTTTGGCGAGTTTTTCTCGGGGTTGCAGGAGCTCTTCCCCGCCCGCTTCAGCTAGGTTTCCCGGTAGGTATTTTACGATGGTAGATGGGGCAAAACAGCTACCCGGCGTGCCGTCTCTATTAGCGTAACACTCCTACCAGGCGGCCTGTTGTACATGTACTAGGCGGGGGGCGGGGGGGGGGGCTATTAGAGCCCCGAAGACACAGCCCCAACTACTATGCCCCAACCAAGATAAGACTGGATGCCAGGCTAGGGTAGCCTAGGCCCAGGCCTTTGGGATCTCAACTCTTTCCATTCATTGGTCACCGAGATTGTCCAATCTTAAAGGCATCCAATGCAATTTCGGAGCGGCAAAATTTGATTTACAAAGTCAATTTTCAATTTTCACTTGTCTAAACAGCTAAAAAATCGTAAGAAGTCGACAATTAAGCCATTTAGGCTGCCATAGACTTTTAAACTGTGTATGTTTATGTGGAGAATAATAAACCAGTCATCATCAACTTGTAGATCAGATACGTAGCTTCTTGACGCATTCTCATGGCAATCTGCCGATAGCATGTAACAGCCAGCTAAATTTGTAGGTAAAAGTTTGATAAGCCTAGTCAACAGCCATATAAAAACATGCCACTCTGTGTGTATTAGTCTGATTGGTGCAGTACTAATAACTATCGCCAGAAGACGCTATAGCAAGTCCTTACTTTAAAACTACTCTCGCTGAATCCACGAAAATATGCAGCTTTATTTGACTGGGAAGACAGAATACTATTTCGTTATACTGCCAAAGTCCTGATAATCTAGAGTGAAATAATATCTAACTATATCTGTTTATATAATTAAACATATGACGAAGATGTAAAATACCAACTAGAAAGGTAACAATTTTGCAAAGCAAATGCATAACGTTTACCTTCGCATGTGGTCTGCTCTGTTAATTTTTACTCAAATACATTCGTATATATGGTCAGACAAGAGTATAAATCCCTTCTACTATAAAATTGCAACATTATGTAACCTAACACCAGTTACCATGGTGAGAGACGTCAACAAATCAGTTCATTGGCCATGTCAGAGGTCAGTGTTTGGAACGGAAGAGGAAGAAGAGGACACGTAGCAAAAACAATGTTTTCCTTTGGTAAACATAATTAAAGCAATACACAAAACATCAATGAGAGTCTCTACGAAGTGCAAACAAACGTATATTCTGAATTTGGATTGACGGTATGGCATATTCTGAATTAATGAAAAGATCGATTCATCAATCAATACACAGATAAATAGGTAGATAAATAGATACAGATAGATAGGTGAATTGATAGATAGACAGAGGGAGATAGATGGATAGACTGACACAGATAGACAGAGTGAGTGATGAGAGAACGAGAAAGAGAGAGAGAGAGAGAAAGAGAGAGATGGATACGGGTAGCAGAGCGCAAACCAGATTTTTTATAACATCACACTATATCTGATTCACATTAACGCATCCAGTGCAGTTTTCAGGGCTTGGAAACCAGATTTTTTCAAAGACAGTATTCCAATCACTTATCTACATACTAAGTTGAAACATAACAGTCCCAATGTATGTCAACATTCATGGAACAGAAATACCGAAAATTCTGACGAAGAACGGCTACAGGAAGGACCCTGGGCTGATTTTTAGGGTACAACCCAGAAAATAATACACTCATCCTGCATGATGCTTGCAATTTTAAATGTATAAGTATGAGATACTGATTAAAATGTGCTAATGTGGGGCAGTATGTGTCAATATCATACAGATTGCCTTATCTAGAATATTTCCAGTTTTGCCGCCCTGAAATTGCTTTGGATGCCTTTAACAACTTCTATTGATGTATCTGGTATCAGATCTACACGAGTTGATGTTCCCAACAGTTCCGGGAAGTTGACTGTACGTATCCGGTATAAGTCAACGTTGGCGTTGAATGATGACAGGATCATGCCTCTATAAACTGACGTCATCACGGTTTGTAAACAAGACATTTTTTTCACCAGTTGGCACCGCGTCAACTGAAGGATGTACGTGTTTAAAGGTATCCAACGCGATTTCAGGGCAGCAAAATTGGAGATATTCTGAATAAGGCAATTTTTGTGATATTTACACAGACATAGAGCTTCGCATTGGCACATTTGAGTCAGCAAACTGCAGAAACAAGCCCCAAGATGTGTCCTTTATGTTCTGGGTAGTACAATAAAAATCAGCCCAGGGCCCTTCCAGCAACCATTTTCCGTCAGAATTTTGGGAATTTTTGCTCCATGAGGGGCAATGTACATTGGGATAGTGTGGTTTCAACTGAGTATGTAGATGACTAGAATATTCACTCTGAAAAATCGGGTTTCCAAACCCTTAAAACTGCTCTGGATGCCTTTAAAATCCCTCAGTGTGTGCTCATTTCCTCTGACTGAGATGATTGGAAATAATGCGAAATCGATTGATGGTAGGAAGCTGTTGATACGTACATACTAGTGGTCACGGCCACCTTTCATGAATGCATTGGTATCTCTCTACCACTGGCGCCTTGCGTTACAACAATAAGGTCAAAAACGAAATTGTCTCTGTATTGCCTTCGACAAGAAGAGTATGTTTTCGGTTTTGCCATGGTAGAATGGCTGTGGTCTGGGTCTGTATGTATGTCAGCAGCATAACTCGAGAAGCTGTAAATGGTATTTGGTAGGTGAGTAGCGGTTGTGAAAACGAAGGTCAAGTTCGCAAATTGTTACACCTGGCGTTTTCCTACTGCACTGCATGGTGATTTGTATGCACTCTGTGTGTGTGCAGCAAAGCTCGGGAAGCTGTGGATGGATTTGGTAGGTGAGTAGCGGTTGTGGAAACGAGGGTCAAGTTCGAAAGTGGTTTACCAGTTGACTTCCTACGGTACAATGTAGGTATGGGCTTGGTATATGTTTTGGTATGTGTACATGTGTACATAACTCAAGAAGCTGCAGCTGTGGAACTCTAGTTAATTGATGTAACATAAAAATCCATCTTATCATGTTTAATAACACACACATCGACCAGTGTTCGGGAGGCCATATTCGGCGATGTGTGACAACTGAGCGTTTAGCTCTAGCTTCCAGTGTCCGTAGCCCAATGCTCCAACTGTGCTCAAAGCTAAATCCCATCCCATTCCTCCAATCTCCTAACATACCAACATTGTATCCAGCTTAATTCCC